GCTGAGATAGGACCATTCTTCTAGATCTAAAAGTATGATCCAATTAGCGCGAAGGAAACTTACAACAGTTGCAAAACAAACGTTCTGCTGAACGCAGCTTATGTCTTAGGCCTGAATCAGACTACGCATTGAAGATTGAGGTTGAAGATTGAAGATTGAAATTTGACCAATAAGGACAAAGAAATTTTAGCTCCTTTCGTTTCGATTGGTCAAATTTGAATTTTTCAATCTTCAATCTCAATCTTTAATGTCTAGTCTGATTCTGGCCTTAAGACACTGATGCGGCGCTCTGATTGGGTACACAATTGCGAATGTAGCACGTTTTACCGACCAAATATCGATTTATCATTTGCAGCCTTGAAAAGTGGACGTATATACCCTCAGGCCAGAATCAGACTACGCATTGAAGATTGAGATTGAAGATTGAAAGATTGGGCGAGTTCAAGACGGCAAAGCGGCTAGGCGTGCTTACCGAGCGATTGAATATGATTGGTTGGATCTATAAGTAACAACCAATTATGTTCATTTGCTTGGCGAGCAGGTTAGCCGCTTTGTCAACTTGAACGCGTCCATTGAAATTTAACCAATAAAAACAATAGGAACTAAAATTTCTTTGCCCTCATTGGTCAAATTTCAATCTTCAATCTTCGATCTCAATCTTCAATGCGTAGTCTGATTCCGGCCTCAGAAAAGTGGATATTGCTATGTAGTTTACATCCACTTTGTCAGGGGGCAGTAGTGCGTGGCAACATTTCGCGGTTACAGATTTTGGGCCGTCATGTTCTCTCTGCTAATACTACTTCGTTTTTTCATGCTTATGATCTTGCGAATTTTGCCCAGATTTTATTGATTCTTGTCCATTCTTGCCGATTTTACTAATCTTGAGGCATACAGGTTAAACAAGATTGAATAAACCACGAATATATATAAATCAAGGATTTTCGAATATTTCATTCGGTGGTGAGTATTCGGAAATTATCTGAATCACATGCTAATTGCTCAAAATGAAAGTCAACAATTACAATTTGCATATATATTATGAATCTCGAAAATTCTAGTTCTTGCTCTTATTTTCCTCTGTTCTAAACAGCTGTTTTTGCACTAAAACCCCCACTCCCCGCTCCCTGAGCTATTCTATTTATGTAACAGAGTGAAATAATTACATATTTTTGCTAATTTTAGAATGGAAAACGTTTAGAATAAAGAATATTCAAGGAGCAGACTTCCAAAAATGCATTTTTTATCCAAAATTTCGTTTTTTTTTTAGTTAGAGATGGCATAGATTTTTTTTTAGTTAGAGATGTTCAGTATTGAAAGACTCATATTGTAAGCTACTCTACGATGTTCTGAAAGCACCATCAATTTATGTGCTGAAAAAAGTCTAGACATTCGAAGTGTATTATGTCCTTTAACTTGAAACAAATAAAATGCATTTGTTTCACATTATTAGAAATAGTTTAGCAATTTTGTTTAACATTTAATATCTTACTGATTTGATCAAATTGTTATTTTCTGTAAGGCACATAGTTTCCTTGTGGCTTTATTTCTCGTTTTCTGAAAATTATAAGTTTTGGATAAAATGCATTTTGAAAGTCTGCTTCTCATTTAGAATGAATAAACTTTAGAATAAAAGATTTTTAGAATACATATAGAGAAAATCAATTATAATGGACCTCCCATAAACACCAAATCAAGTTGATTAACTCTATGAAATAAGGGAATAGAAAAAAAAATTAATAAAATTACAAATCATTAATCATATGTTAAAATTAAAAAATTTACTAAAAGTAGAGTTGATTAACTTGACTTCTAAGAGGCCCAAATATTTGATTTGATTGGATCAAATGCTGTACATAATTGTATTTGATTTATGCATATAAATTATATAAAATTCTAATATAAATAGCTATTATATAAGAATAAATCAAATTATTGTGTAAAAGAGCATAAACGCCAACGCTAGATTTTATTGGGAATTAAAACATTTTATGTCACATTGCGAAATACAATAATAAATACTCGTTTATTATTGTATTTCGCAATGTGACATAAAATGTCAGGATGTTTCAAAATTTGCGCCCGCGAAGTACAAGATATACTCTATGCTAAAACAAACAACTTTTTCCTTGAACAAGATTGCGATAATAATTTTCCGCAATAATTTTTGCACTTATTTGTTAACTTCGACCTGCTCTCCTGCAAAAACTACTTATTGGACGCAATTTTGTAAAAGGAAAAAGTTTTAGCATAAAGTATTACGTCCTGTACTTCGTGGACGCGAATTTTGAAACACCCTATAATATATATTTTATATCACATTGTGAAATACAACAATAAATAAATGTTTATAATGTTTTAATTTGCAATAAAATCTCGCGTTGGTGTTTATGCTCTTTTATACTATAATTTGTATTTGTTCAATATGAAATTTAGATACGTGATATTCAAACAAAATAAAATTCATTAATCTCTGTAAGTACAACAATGTTTTCTCAAGCCTAAGTGTGTTGACCGTCGTTTACGGAATGGACAGTCAGGTATGTGGAGACGGCAGGTTGATAGACGTGATCGACGAGGGTTGGCGCAAAGAACGTCTGCCCATTGATGACATCTCGACGCCAGTAGCTGAGCTGCCTGATCCTGAAAGCGACAACGGCGATTCTCATATGACATTGAAGGAGTTGGAGCAGAAGTGGAATAATTTGGCATTAAGCTCTCTCAGCGACAATCATCTGCATTCTCCAACACCACTGCACAACTAGATATAGCTTTCAGTTTCCCCAATTGCCAGAAAACATATATAAAGTCGATTATAATTTTGATTTGTTGCTACATCACAATGGAATTTCCAGAGACTGGTAAACACTGCTCAGTGAAAAACTGCAAATTGTTGGACTTCTTGCCATTTGTGTGCGAGCGTTGTCAAGTCACTTTCTGTAAAGAGCATTTTAATATGGAATCGCATGAGTGTTTGAAAACAGAGAACTCAAAATCTGTTGTAGAACAATCGACAAGCTTTCTATGCTCTAAAAAGTCTTGCAAAGATGCATCATCCGTCGAGATGCCTTGTATCAAGTGTAAACAGCATTTTTGCGTAACACACAGACATCACAGATGTTTAGAGTTGAGTGAAACAGAGAAGAGACAGAAACTGAAGAAGTGGCAGAAACCAAAGAAACAGTTTGCGGAAGCAAAAGCTATAGTAGATCAACAAATTGCGGAAAGTTTGAAGAAATCAAAAAATGTAGCATTGGCAAATAAAGTATGTTACTTTTATAAATTAAAAATACTTCTATATAATAGAAGTATTAATTCAAGTAAATTCTTCTTCCTCTAATAAATCCAATCTTCCTCTGCTTACAGGTTCAACTCATGCGTGTGAAAAGTTCTGCGATTGGTCCTAAAAATATATCAACGAGCGAGAGAAGTTACTTTCTTGTACATTTGCCATTGACAGTAAAAAATAAACATATAGGCACTTCGAAAGGGGCCTTTGTCAATACGACCTGGACAATTGGCAAGTGTATAGATTCAATAGCGGACACACTTAAAGTTCCCAACAATAATAACACAACTACCACGAATAAGTTAAAACTCTTCCGTCATTCTACTGGAGATCTAATATGTAACAAGATGGATACACCTTTAACGCAATTATTTGAAGATTTGGCTATTTTTGATGGAGAGCGAGTTATTTTGGAATATTCTGATAATGTACCTGATAATATAATAGATCCATCTTTATATAAATAAGTATTATATGTATATTACTTTTGTTGTAATGAAATTTGAAATTGAATTTGAAAATAACAGGTAATAGTCCACTAACTGCATAACTATCGAAACAGTGTACTTTATGCTACTTACGATGTATAAGATTTTATATAATTTTGTCATACAATTTGATTTATCGATAATGATTAAAAAACACAGCTCTTAGAATAATACTTGTTTATTACAAACTAGAAGGTTTTATATCAGTTTTACATTTATTCTTGACAAAGAGACACTTAAATGCATTAAATAAACCATTTATACCAGATTATTGTCAGATTTGTTTAAAATAAAAGAGTAACGATATTCTGACTTTGGCACTGGACGTTTCTTGTTTCATACACATGAGTTATGCTAATGCAGCGACAGAGAAGTATAAATTAGTTATATATTCAAATAAATGTGCGCTCATTCAGTTTCATAATACAAATATGGCATCGCATACACTACAAGTGAATGAGAATTACCATTAATAATTATCAGTATCGTAAGTTCAACAGTGCACATACATCCACTTATTTATAGGATAACAATGTTTGTAAATATTAATTACAAAAGAAAAAGAAGTAAAAATTGCTTATATATGTATTATCTTAATAATGAAATGCATTTGACGCTTAATAATATAGAAAAAGAAATACACAATTCGATAATTTGATTTATACCTAGCTAGTAGAGCAAATTAATTTCTCAAGATTAATTTACAAGGATGATATTCATATCTAATCTCAAATTCATTATGTTCTAACTTACATATTTTAATGGAAGTAACATATGTGTGAAAATGTGTATACGACTATCGATGTTATCTGAACTGCTCGATTTTACCAATGTAGTTTAATCCCGGTTTAACTAATTCATCTTTTTTTAGTTTTACATATTAAAAAAGGTAAAGTAAATTAAACCAAGATTAAAATTAATCTACATTAGTAGAAATGACAGACATCCCGAAATACAATAGGCAAATAAAAAAAAATCAATAATTTTCTTCAGATTCGACTGTGATTGGTCAATATCTTACGGCTTAAAGCTTACTATACCTATTGTGCTTCAGGATTTATGAAATAAGCTCCTATGTCACTTGTTAGGCCCATATTTCCATTTTCTGCTTAACTTATAGTTAGACTTAACTATATCCACTGGGCTTTATCTATAATGATGATGTCATGGATGAATCCCCTCGAGTAAAACATCAGATTAAGTCTAACCACACCAGATAATGAAAAATTGGACCTTAATATTAGTACATCAATATTACCATTAAAACAACTTTGTATCAATGTGCTGAAAATGATGGAATTATACACTGTAACGAACTATCTCATGTTAGAAAGAAAAGATGATATCAGATCTGAATATCTTAATTTAAGCAAATTGCCTCTGTATATTGCACAAAGTACATTGAAATTGTAATAAAAAGAAAAAAATGCAAATTAAAAAATTGGCTCGTGGAAGAAACAATGTTCGAGAAACGAACATTATCATGAAATACAGCGATTTTTCTATAACATTATTATGTAACATAATACAATATAATGTAACGCATCGTAATATGAAATGTCTATTACAGAATTTATCATGGAATTAAATATTTCTCTCACTTTTGTCTTTAACTCATTTTCGAGTTACCAGTCGCATATAGACGAATGCATTAATCGTGTCCCGTGCAACATTCACAAGAACATGATCGCACGATACATAACTTGCCGATGCATGCGCGAAATATATGAGTCATTAACTACATAAGATAAGCAAGAAGGTATGTTTTCCTGAGTATTAAAAAAAAGAGCTTTTACCACTGTAAACGCACAGGACACTATTTCTGCACCCGCATGTATATATAATCTTTATGCAAGATTTTTATCGATGCCTCTCATCACAAGCGCATCCTTTAGTGTACGAAGAAGGCTTGTCGATTGCCGATGACGTATTATCCTTTACTCACGTACATGTGAAAGAAATTCTTGAAATAAAGGACGAGTTTGATGAGGGACAAAATGCACAGTATGTATAAAGAGATCGCGAAAAGGACGAGCAATGCCATTCGCGCGTTTATATTTGTCTCTGTATCCTGCGAACCGCGCGATCGCCCGCCGCTGGCCACCTGCCTGTTGGCTGCAGAATGTATCTGGTAACGGATGACCTTCCAACGTTTTCGCAAGGTAGATCACAAAGAGCTGGCTGAGCGCAATGCCTAGAGCAATGCCAGCTATAGTGTAGAGATTACGTTCCGCCCAGCTACGTACGATTTCGATACATCCACTGGTCCACACCTTTTTACTCGCTTCTGACACTGGTAACATCTGGACTTTGTAGCCGCACATTATATTTACAAGTCCGCTCTGAAAATTGAAATTATCTCATTTGTAAAATTCACATCAAGTTCTTTACAATGTTTTAAGATGATTATTAGTATTATTATTAATTGACGCTCAATTTAATTGTAATATTATTTCAACTTCAGTTTATACAATTGCGTTTCGAATAGACAATAGTAACCGGCGTACAGTTTAAATAACGGAAAGATGTATTTAAAACTTAGATATCAATATTAGGCATCAAGATTTAGTCTTGATCCTTCTCTTGATTTATCTCATTTGTATATCGGCAGTGAATTGAAAATGTCTTTCCAAACATAAAATATCTTTCAGTTACCATTGACTTTCTATGTATAAATGCAACAAATAATATACGTACAGATATATCAGTAGCGTTTATGCAACAAGAGAACGGTACACCGCAACGTTCTACGCTAGGGCTGGTGCAATTAAAATATTCATTCTTCCCCCAATCTAAATATCCTTCTTGACTCAAACCACAACACTTGAACTGCAATATAAAATTTTATGAATATTTCACTCGCGTGTACGAAATTGGATAACTTATACAAATGTAAGACATGTATTTTTATCATTATTAATAATTTTATTCATAATCTTTACTTCTTGTTGGCCAAAATCTATGAAATTTTGCAGATCTGGATCTTCTCTGTACGTCTGAATTATTTTGTCTGTGAACGACTCTTCCAAAAGAGACTGCAATGTGTGAGGGAATACAAAACCAACAATCGCCACACCCATCTCCAAAAGGAAGAACACCAAAAGACATAGCGAATACTAAAAAAATAATTCGGTCAGTAAATTCACATGTTTTGCACCGCTTGTAGAAAATATTTTGTACACAAAAAAACTAACAAATTTAAGAAGGCATGTATTTTCACGAAGGGCTCCTACGCATCCTGCAAAACTAACGACAAAGACTACTCCGCCAGCTATCAGCATCACCAGAGAAATGTTCAAGACCACATCATAGACATTCTCTACCCGGACAGATCCAGTTGCCTGCCATTTATCCACAAATGCGTAGAGACCTACGCCGATTAGCAGTCCACCAAACAGCTAAGCATAAAGAAAATTATTTTTGTCTCTTATCATCATATTTGACCACAACATTTCTCTATTATCTTTAACTTTTATTCTACTTCCTCTGATGTCAGTAAATTCAAAACCAACACAAACATGTCTTTCCCAGTTTTCCTTTTAGAACACAGTCGACAAAAACATCATTCTATCATTCTTGACATTCATGAATAAAGCCTAATCTATAGTTTCCTTTTTGTACTTTCTGTTCTTCGTTTTTTATTGCTTTTTACCTCTTACCTTTTTATCTCATATCCTGTTTCTTCGTTTTCTGCCTGAGACAAACTCTAATCTACAATGTACACTTTGCTTCCTGTTTCTTTCCTTTTACTTTTTGCCTTTTTCCTTCTTTGGGACTGTTCCATTGAAACAATTGTATTCCTTATCATGTGTTTCTTATCTCTTTTGAAGTTTGTCATTTTATCTCGAAAGAAGATGAAGAAATAAAATAAAAGGCAAAAGTAATATAAAGTAATAAAAAAAATAGGAAGCGAAGAAAACGTTGTAGAAACAGGCTTAAAAGTTAAGGACAAACTTCGGAAGAGATAAAGTACACATTACAAGAAACGCGATTATCGATAAAACGGTCGCAAAGAGAAAAAAAGTCAAGAAACAGAAAGTAAAAACACATAATAAATTAGGCTTAAAGAAAGACAGAATGACTTGTGTCAACTGTACCTCTTAAAAAAAAGGAAAGTAGTCTATATATATCTTGTCTTGGAACAAATTGCGAATTTCATTTGCGTGAATGCAGCATAGAAAGAACAGCAAAACAAATCGCTCACCCAAAAGACGAAATTCAGCATAAAGATCATGTACTTCACGCACGAACTGACGTATGTGAAATTGTTGCTACGTCTGCGATGATTCATCATTGTGTGGCGGCGAGTATTTGACGAATCTCACAAAACGATTGGTGTCCCCGAGAAGAATTCTCGGCACGGCGTAATTTGAACGTTCGTTTCAGTCGTTATCTCAACTCACGGCGATGAGAGACAACTTGTATCGACACATACTTCAACAGTCTCTACCCTTTCCGCCATTACGATGTTTCTCGTGGTTTCCCCAGGTTTCCTAAACTCGCGACGTTTCTGCGTTTCTGCGTTCCATCGCGCAAGTTCGAAATCAGCTGTCCGTTCCACGTTCCGCGACGACATAGGTCTGTTCGCGTTGTTCGTATTTTTGCACTCAGTGGGTGCGATCCACTACGTTGCAAATTGCTTTGAAGCATTCTTTGATTGGTCAATTCGTAAAATTCTTTCTTTTGATTGGTCAACGAAATATTTGCAGCTTTTTTTTCTCTGAGTACGTTCCGAGTTGCGCATGAAACGCATAAACTACATCTTAAGTCTGTTCGCGTTGCTTGTACTTTTTGCACTCAGCATCTTCACTTTCTTTCATTCCAACACATCCAAATATATAGGCCTGTTTTTTTTTTTTTGGCTAAACTTTTGCACCAGTTCATCTTCCTTCCTTTTCTCTCCAGGAGGAAAGAAGAGGAAGAAAGATGAACTAGTGCAAAAGTTCAGCTCTCTGATTGATTCAAGCACTAACTTAAGGATAAAACCGGAATCAAACTATGCATTGAAGATTGAGATTGAAGATTGAAAAATTGAAATTTGACCAATCAAAACAATAGAAGCTAAAATCCCTTTGTCCTCATTAGTCAAATTTCAAACTTCACTCTTCAATTTCAATCTTCAATGCGTAGTCTGATTCCAGCCTCAGGGTGCCATTACATGAGCGCGGAAACACGGAAACGTGGAAACGCGCAACCAATCAGTAATCGGTAAAACGCGAAACCATAACAGCGGATCGCTTCTGATTGGTTACGCA